GAGAGGGCAACCGAGCAACCTACCATCATCAGGTACTTGGTCACGTCAGTGGCCACTAGCTGCATGAGAGAAGGGCATCGAGGGATAAAATCAGCGCCCGTCTCCAGGGCCACTGTCAGCAGACCCAGTGAGACCTGAACAATCGGTTCGGGATGCTGCTCCGGATTGAGCAGGTCTGTCAGGACGGCAAAGAGGTCATGCACCGCACGCAGGGTATAGGGGCGACAACAACGCGGCGTGGATGCAGTGGTCGCGTTGGGGTCCTGAGCTTCTGAGGCGCCATCTGCCGTCAGCTCAGTCTCAGGGGAATCGGCCTCGTTGTTTAAGGCAACTGTGAGGGAGCAGTAAACAGGAAATGTTAAAAAGACAAGTGACGTGCTTCAGTTCACAGGACTCTACAATGAGTAAGGATAAAGGCTACAGGAAGTAGTTGTCCTCGAAAGACAATCATGCTAAACACCCCCCTAAATTAGAGTCAGTTATCTAGAGCAAAAGCAGCAGCAGCAGCAGCAGCAGCAGCAGCAGCAGCCAATCAAAGTACTCCAAAAAGCAAGTATTCTACTTAGATTTCCGCGACAGCCAATCAAATTCCATTAATCTATGTCCTGACACCTATCAACAAAATAAAACCTGGCTAAAATAAAAACTTCGAAATGTGCATATGAAACGAGGAAGAGCCGGTTAACATTCTAGTTTTCCCAGCGCTACCTGATTAAGTGGTAAAAAAAGGCTGAAATATGTTTTCAATTTGGATAAAAATTCGTTAATTAGGGTTGCCATATCAGTTATCGTACAGCCTTATCCAAGGATATGGCAGACAGGACAGATTACCGGCATTTGAACTCGCTTTTTTCCAGCCATCTTTAAAAACTGCACCTCGTAAAAATGACTACCTCAATAACATAAATTGCTCATCTTGGTGTTAGATTATCTTTTTGAATGCATGCACTAAAATAGGCGTTCTAATGTTCATTTGGTAGAAAATTAGGTCGTCTGTAAATTTCAAAAAATGTTATCTTGTGGTTTTAAACAGTTTTTAATTGGTAAACTTTCTAAGAAAGTGAAATGACCTATGACGAAGCAGCCCATCTGTGCATTACTTAATGCTGCTTAGAAAGTATATAAGGTTTTGTGCGCAACGTCTTACTTGTTGCCTTTAGAAATGTGTGAGTCGCCTCAGATGGACTGTGTACGGCTTGTGTGTAACGGCAGGTCGGCGATTTCAAAAGATTTTGAAACAACAGGAATACCCCCTCTTTAAGTATAACATTTACAGAAGACGTTATATGTTATGAAATGAGTAACCAAGAAAGAATACTTGTGTGTATATTTTCTATAAAATATATTTGAATTTATATGTACATCGAAAGTCAACGCGAAAGGAGATATATTGCTTATGCAGTCGTTTTTACAGAATGTTATTTTTACAGACTCGTTCAAAAGCAGGCATGCTGACTTCACTGAAATATTTTGGAGTAAGGCTGCACAGCGATAAACACTACTAAAGTTAGTAAACTTTTGCAACACATTTCTGAATTTCGGATAAAATTTTACGAGGTGGCAAAGCTACTCTATTTAATACCATGTTTGCAAATAGCTGGGACCCGAATAGACCAATTCGCTCAGATTTCTACCTGTGGGACCACGATAATGATTGCTCGAAGTGAGTAAAAGACAAGTCGTGGACTGGCACAACATTTAAACCCTTATGAGAACTTAAGCAGCCGGTAAATCGACTTTCCACCCACATACACAGCCCAGTGCAGTTGGTGTGTGGTAATGTGTCAACATTATCACCTCGCCTATCGTTGGTGGTTTCATTATTGAGGAAATACTTATGTGACTAGCCTTCTTCCTCTTTAATAGTTGAGCAGCCTGCTCTCGATCTGAAACGGCGGAAAGGCAGGAGAGCTGGGCTAGGGTATTGAGAGATAGTTGCTCTATCGACGACAGAAGGATCCCTAAATCAAGAGTCAGGCAAGACAATTGAAACGAACACTTTTGCTGAGCTTAAGTAGCCCTACATAGCTTCTGAAAGCGCCGCGTACACAAGCCAGTCGTGTCGGTTAAAAAGCGTAGATGTGTGAAGCTTTGGTTGCGGGATAGTGCTATTTCGGCTGCCGCCAATCAAACGAGGCGGAAATATCGATCAGCTTCGAGCGCGAAATGCGCGGGGGCGCAAAAGTACAAGAATGCACAGA